ACAATTTTCCAATGACATTTTCCAATGACACAATTTTCATAACAAAAACATTCCTGTGGAAAGCAGATTCTATTTTAAACCAGTGAGCGGAGCTGTATGGTCGGACGGTACCGACCATATAACATCCTACACAACTACCACTGATCCCTAAGTTTCTGTGGATCTATATTGCGAGCCAGGTAATATTTGGCGATGTTTGCACGCTCTTGACTGATTAGAGGTCATCAGCTCCTTTGCGGCATCCTTTCCAAATCATGGTTTTCCGGAGTAAAAATATTCCGAGCCTCCATAATATTCAAATTTTGTTATTTTATACAAAAACGTTTTGTTTCATTGACCCCCTGAATATTGATCTTCAATACAGTCGTTCGAAGAAGTTGGTCAGATCGCCTTCCCCATGAAAAGCTTGTGAAGGCGTCTTGAGCGATTAGAATACCATACAAAAATAAAGTTTTCGGTCCATTTCATCCCCGAAATATCATATGATCAACATCGAAAGTAATAGGCGTCATTTGTGCCCATAATCACAAAAGTCTGGGTCCATTTGACCGGCCAAATATTGACCGATCTTCATCTAAACAGTCATGCTTATTCTTAGGCCATATTCCCTTTCTGGCTTAAATTTCGTGTTGTTCGGGTCATAATTGTGCCTATAGGGCGACCAGAAAAACATACAAAAATTCATCCCCTAACGGATCATTACCAAAAATTATTGGGGTCTTCTTTGGCCAGAACCCAACCTAGATCCAAAATTGCGGGGGCGAATGGTTCACAACTGTGGCCTGTATCGTGTTTACAAATTATATTGGACAGACGCGCGGACGGACACACATGCCTAGATCGACTCAGCTAGCAAAGGTGGGTTGAGAACCAATTTTTCGTGACGTTGCAAACTTTTGGGGCTGCACAAAGCTATAATACCCTGAAAACAGAGCTGTGTAGGGTATAAAAATAAAATAAGTAGTTTCTCAGGCATGACAATTTTCTTCAAATTAAACCCTCCGATCTCATTTTGTATAAAAAATGCTAACAGTTTCTTAGCCAATTCTGCCTATTTACTCCTTTGATTCTGACTTCATTTTTCATAGAAACATTGACTCTGAGTCTATTTTGCAATCGATAACTATTTGATCGTACCTGATCCGAGCTCATTTTATAAACCAAAAATTTTTCAGATTTTCCGCCTAAATTGCTATAACAAAATAACCTTGGACTCCATAGAAAATGTTCTATAATTATAAGACTACTTTCTATACAAAAATTATTCAGAATCTCGTCTATAAAGACTCCCTTCAGCTCGTCTATAAAGACTCCCTTCAGCTCGTCTATAAAGACTCCCTTCAGCTCGTCTATAGAGACTCCCGTTCAGCTCGTCTATAAAGACTCCCGTTCATCTCGTCTAAAAAAACTCTCGTTCAGCTCGTCTATAAAGACTCCCTTTAGCTCGTCTACAAATATTTCCATCAGCTCGTCTATGAAATACTCCCTTCAGCTCGCCCATGAAAGACTCCCGTTCAGCTCGTCTATAAAGACTCCCTTCAGCTTGTCCTATAATGACACCCTTTCAGCTCGTCTATAGAGACTCCCTTCAGCTCGTCTATAAAAACTCCCTTTCAGCTCGTCTATAAAGACTCCCTTTCAGCTCGTCTATAAAGATAAAGACTCCCTTTCAGCTCGTCTATAAAGACTCCCTTTCAGCTCGTCTATAAAGACTCTCTTTCAGCTCGTCTATAAAGACTCCCTTTCGGCTCGTCTATAAAGACTCCCTTTCAGCCCGTCTATAAACACTTCCTTCAGCATCCTTTAAAGATATTTACCTTTTCCCCCAAAAATTCTTTTAATGAAAAATCCATTTTTTTATTTTTGTGTATGACAATTTTTTCATTTTTATTGTGATATTTTTTTTAATTTTATTTTAGTTTATATTATTTTAAAATATTTTTTATTTGATGTTGTTTTTTTTTTCTATACATAAATTACATTTAAAATTAGTAATAAAGTTTTGGCGGCATTTATTTTTTTGTTTCTTGCCTATAATATTAATTTCAAATTTGTTTCGTTTGTTTATAATACATATACTTGACATACTTAAAATCTAAAAACATTTAAAACATTACAAATTATTATCACAGTAAATATTTATTTAAATAAATGTTAAGATTTTTGTTTTGTATTACATGCTAATATTTTGTTGTTTAGTGCCTTTTATATATAATTTTTAAAGTAGTTAAGAAAAGTATGTAGAAAAATATAATTCAAAATAATTTTTCTTTGAGTTTTCTTAAATGACTTTTTGTTCTCAAAGTAAAATTTTTATGAAATATATTTTTTTAATTATAGAAGAGATTATTTTTTGGCAACAATTCAATAATAACATTATCCAAAAATTTTGTAGTACTTTTTTTTTCGTTTATAAATTTGAAAATTATTTGGGTAACATTAGTAGGAACTGTTTATGTATTTATATGGGAGGGTAATTAGTTTTGGTGTTTTTGTATTTGAAAATATTAAATTAAATTCTTCTAAATTTAGAATTAATTTTTGTATTATTTTTATTATTACTAATTTATTATTTTTTTTTCATTGTTAATTAAATTCCTTAAATTTGTTTAAATTCTTTTGTAACTTATTCCCTAGTGTCTAGTGATATATTTTTTGTATTAATTATGTTTTTATGTGACCATAAACAAGTGTGAATTTTTAATGTTCTTCTAAGGACTTATATACTTTTTTAATTTTTTACTTACACATATACATATATTTAGTATAAATAATTCGATATTTGTTTAATACTTAGAATTGTCTTTTTTTATGTCTTATTTTCCAGTATACCAAAATTTCTTAAATATTTTTTTAAGAAAAATTTTTTTCTTCAAATTGTTTGTATCAAAATTGAATTTTTTGGACTACGAGGAAGGACATTTAAAAATACTTTTTTTCCAATGATATTTACACATTTGTTGTTCTGAAATGAGAAGAAATAGAAAATAAAAGATTATTAATATTTTTCAAATAAAATGTTCAATATTAAAAAAAAATGTCTGAAAAGATTTTCTATGAAGACTAACTTCACCTCGCCTATAAGGATACCCATGCGCTCATTTATAAAAACTCCCTTTAACTAATCTACAAAGACACCCTTCAGCTCATATATAACAGCTCCCTTCAGCTTGCCTAGAAATACTTTCATCAATTCGGCTACAAGGACTGCATTCAGCTTGCCTATAAATACCTCCTTCAGCTCGCCCTTAAGACAGCCTTCAGCTCGTCAATAAAGACCTTTCACCTCTTATATAAAGATAGCCTTTAGCTCTTCTATAACACACCCTTCAGCTCGCCTATAAAAACTCCATTCTGCTCAACTTAAAAGACTCTGCCAGATCATCTTTGAAGTCTAGCTCCAACACGTTTTTAAATAGGCTCCTATTTTCTTTAAATCATTTTAAGATACTGCTCCAGCCCTCAACATTGGAAAATGTTGACTCAACATGTCCTCAACATTGGAAAGTGATGACTCAACTTGTCCTCAACATTGGAAAATGTTGACTCAACATGTCCTCAACATTGGAAAATGTTGACTCAAAATTTGGACATGTTTATATAAATATTTCTTTTCAACTTAAAAGACTCTACCAGATCATATATAAGGTCTAGCTCCAACACGTTTTTATATAGACACCTATTTTTTTATTATTTTAGGATACTGTTTTAGTCCTCAACATTTGGAAAATATTGACACAACATGTAATCAACATTAGAAAATGTTGACTCAACATGTAATCAACATTAGAAAATGTTGACTCAGCATGTCATCAACATTGGAAAATGTTGACTCAACATGTCATCAACATTGGAAAATGTTGGCTCAACATGTCCTCAACATTGGAAAATGTCGACTCAACATTGGAAAATGTTGACTCAACATTTGGAAATGTTTATATAAATATTTTTTTTCAACAGTTCTAAAAATCCAATACTGAAGAATTGATAGAACAAGCTAGGAAACCTTTGAATTCGTAATTGGAAATTATTTTATTTTGAACATTGAGAAAATGTTGCTTAGAATATTTCAATATGTTGCTCAACATTTGAAAAAGTTTTTGAATCAAAGTTTTCGTATGTGGTGTAAAAAATCGGTATAGAAAAACGAACTGATCATTTACAATTAGCAAAGTAAAATTCCTTAAAATATCCTTTTGAGGAATACCATTATGTTGCTATGGAATTTGTTCATGTTTAACAACATTAAAAATATATCCGCAACATTGCAAAATGTTGCTCATCAATAAAGACAGAATTCATTTCATCTATAAAGACTTCATTCCGTTTGTCTATAAAGACTTCCCTCAGTTTATCTATAACGACTTCTTTCAGCTCGCCTAGAAAAACTCCTTCGGCTTCCTTCAGTTCGTACTTTTTTGAAGCTCGTTTTGTTTTATTATATTTTCTATGAAATTTGTTCATGTTTCACAACATGAAACATGAACAAATCAATAAAGACTGAATTCATCTCATCTATTTGTATATAAAGACTCTGTTTGTATATAAAGACTCCCTTCCGTTTGTCTATAAAGACTTCCCTCAGTTTATCTATAAAGACTTCCTTCAGCTTGCCTAGAAAAACTTCTTCAGTTCCCCTCAATTCGTCTATAAAGACTCTCATCAGCTCGTCTACTAATGCTCCTTTGAGGTTGTTCTATTCAATTTCCCATATTTTCCTTTAAAAAGAAGTCTCACTCTTTTGTCGAAATCTGAAACATACTTCCTACCATTCCGACTCTCAAATTTAAAATTCAAATAAAAATTTGTCACACTTACCTTATAATTATTTAGTTTCAATTTCCATGCCTTCTCAAAAACCATGTTTCCGGTGAAAATTATATACATATACATCTACTACACACACATATACACGTAGAGAGTTTCACACAATAAAAAATTCGATTGCCACAATGCCCGTTTTTCTTCACCAAGATTACTTCCAGTCTTCCTGAATTTTTTTACATCATCATATATGGTGATTCATCACCATTATCCGGACTATCTAGCGAGGGATTGATGCGTTTCTCTTTCTGACGACGATTACAGAACCACACTCGCACCACTTCCTTTTCCATACACAAACGATCCGCTAATTGGGTAATTTCTTCGCTGGTGGGTTTTTGATTTAACATAAAGGATTTTTCCAAAGCTCCACGTATTGAGGTTTCAATGGAGGTACGTTTCTTGCGACGACGGCCCATAATTTCGGGTGTGGTTGCTGTGGTTTGTAAGACGGCTGGATCGAAGATTCTGGAAAGAATAAAAAGAGGGGAAAAAGGAATTAATTTTTGATTTATTTTGAAATATATTTTTATTGTAAAAATAATGCTTAGAAATTTCATGTTGCGTAAATATGTTTCAAGTTTAAGCAACGCATGAAATGTTGAAGCAACATGTTTGGGACAACATAGAAAATGTGGTAGCAACAAAAGAAAATTGTTCCTAAAATTTATGAATGATTAGTTTTTATTCCCTGAGGATAAAATAAAATCTATAGAACAAATTTTCTTCAACCCTTTGATGACAGATTTTCCATAGAATATTTTTCATCAAACTCAATGGAGGACATATTTTCAATCTTAGTTGAAGTTAAATTTTTCATGAAAAACCTCCCAAAGGAAACATTTTCTACAGAAATTTGTTCTTAAACGCCTTGAGGAAATATTTTCGTTATAAATTTGTTCTCAAACCTTTTGAAGAAATATTTTCTGTATATATTCTCAATCCTCTTGAGAATATATTTTCTATAGTTAATTTTTCCTCAAGCCTCTGTAGGATATATTTTCATTAGAAACATTTTCTCAAGCCTCCTAAGGATATATTTTCTATAAAAATTGTTCACAAGCCTCTTGAAGATATATTTCTCCAGCATTTTTCTCAAGAATCTAGAACAGATATTTCCATAAAAAATTTTTTTTCAAGCATCTTAGGGATATTTTTTTCTCAAGTCTCTTGAGGATATGTTTTCAATAGAATTTGTATTCTGAAGCCTCCAGAGGATATATTTTCTATAAAAAAAATTTCTCAAGCCTCTTGAGGATATATTTTCTATAGAAATTTGTTTCTTAAGACAATATATCCTTCATTGGGATATATTGTCTATGGAAAATTTTGTCTTAAGCCTATCAAGCTTCTTGAGGATAGATTTTTGTATCTCAACATACAAAAATGTTGATGCAACATTAAAATGTGTTGAATCTACATTCCAAATGTTGCTTCCACCTTTGCAAAAAAAATCTCTAAGTTCTTTTTACTTTAATGGTAAAAATCTGGATAATGCTAATGAGGTTCTGAGTTTTAATCGGCAAACATTAATTCCGCAATTGAGAAATAAGAAAATGTTGCATAGACATTTGTAAATGTTGCTGAACTTTTAAAATGGTTCCTAAGCTTTAAAACATGTTGCTTAACCTCAGAAAATGTTTCCTGAGCTTTAAAAAGATATTTGTAAATAAAATTTCTCATGGAAAAAATAAAATAATATCGAATTTTTCAACTTACCCTCCAGTTGCCTGTATTGTCCGATCTGCATCGTCCAACCACTTCTGCAGCAGTGGCTTCAATTTACACATATTCTTAAAGCTCAAATTCAATGCCTCAAAACGTGAAATTGTGGTTTGGGAGAAATCATTTCCGTACAATTTTCCCATAGCCAAACCCACATCTCCTTGGGTGAAACCCAATTTGATACGTCTCTGTTTAAAAGTCTTGGCAAATTGTTCCAATTCCTCCAGATCAGTTGTTTCTTCCGGCGAAGCTTCAGGGAGCTCTTGTGGCAGCTGCCATACTTTTGGGTAGTTGCGGTGTTTGAGGCCCACTTGGGGTATTGGGTGTGAGCAGGCCACTAACCTTAAGAGAGCTTGAGGAACCCGATGGTGGTGGTGTGTGCTGAGAGTTATGCAGTAAATGATGACTTGATGCCGAAGAGGAGGTATACAGATGTGGCAGTGGTGAGGTGGCTGGACTTTGTAGGGGACTACGCTGTAGAGGTGTTGACGAATGATGACGATGATGAGGATGCGAAGGGTTCTTCAAATGTAAAGGTTGGTCATAACTGTTGGGGTATTGTAGCTGTTCGGGTTCGGTTTTTATTGTCAATTGTTGTTGAGATTGTGGTGTTTGCTGATGTTGATGTTGTTGTTGCTGCTGCATTTCCTCTTGTTGTTTTTGTAGAGCCTGCAATTGCTGGGCCGCCTGCGTTAGGGCTTGTCTTTGCAGTAGAAATTGTGCTGTTGCCACCTGGGCTGCCACTGAAGGATCATCCGTTGGACCCATGCCGGTAAGGGATCCATTACGTAGAATTTCCAAATAATGCTGGAATTGTTGTTGCAGGGCATGTTGTTGTTGTTGCAATACCTGTTGAAATTGTGCAAAATCTTGAGTGGAGAGTGGGGCACCCATGGCGGCCGCCTGAGCCAAAAGGGGATTGGCAAAACCCAAACCGGCTGCGGCGGCCAATTGGGCCTGTGGAGAACCCAAACCCGTTGGCAATACCGCCAAGGGACTATGGGGTAGAGGTGGCATGGCCAAGGGGCTAGTTGTCGAGGTGGTTGCTGGTGGAGTTGTTGTGGCTGGCATTTGTTGTTCAGTTTTGTTGCTGGCGTTTGGTGTGCTGGCTGCCATTTGTTTTGCTGATTTCAAAGATAATGCAGGTGATTGCGAACTGTGCCGAGAATTTTCACTGGTCAAATTCAAAGCTCCCTCTTCTTCGACCATTTCCTCCTCCAACTCTTCTTCTTTGTGCAGTTCCTTTTTCATTAATTTCGGTGAGTGGGCGGAGAGGGGTGGCGAATTCAATGCTGGATGTGTGTGATGCAAATGATGTGCCGGATGGTGATGATGATACTGAAGGGTGTGTAAAGCATGCGGCTGATAGGCGGACACCTGGCGCCTTTTCGTGGGTGGGTGAGACAAGTCCAATGAGGGACTTTCCGGTGAACGACAACGGTCACTACTTGAGTTGCCAGCACTCGAGTTATTGTCATCACAATCGGAACCTGGAAAAAATAGAAGAAAAAAAAATAATTCATGAATAAGTGGAAGGTTTTAAAAACACGTGTGTTTATATTTCATTTTCTGGGTTTTATTTTCCCCGTCCTCCTCCTTACTCATTTCCAAACTTATGTTAATTTAGTGCATAACAAAAGCTAATAGAGGGAGTAGGTTTGCATATATTTTTTTTTCTTATTCTCCTGCGAACGTTTTCTTGGTCAATTTCAAGCTCGAATGGAATTCAAGTAAACACACAAATTTTCCAAGGGGAAGCAGGGAGGGGGGAAGTCCTTTTTACTGGACCCTTTTTAAGCGAATTTTCATGTTTTCTTTTCATTTCATGTGGTGCAAATAAACTAACATTTTAGAATTGCAAATTTCGATTTTTCAGTTTATTTGTTGTGTGTGTGTGTGTGCGAAGGTGGGGGTGAGTGAGTGCCAGTGTGTTGGTGTGTTAGGTTTCGATTTGTATAAATTTGCCATACAATTGATTTGACATTTGCAACAGCAGAAAAATAATCTACAATGTATTTGAATATTTAAAATTCCACCCTCGTCGATTTTGGTCACCGTAAACCGAAAAAGGACATTCTCAGGGTTATTGGCTTTGACGCAGTGGCCTTCAGAAATAAATTTCACTTTTCCACCCCAACCATAATAATATTCATTCATCATAATTTTTTCGATATGAGCGTGTGTGTTCGAAATTTACTATTCATGTTTATTGTCGATTTCAACTCTTCCTTGACCTTTATTAAACTCTTTCCGGCCCGCCCTGTCAGTTACTTATTGATCCTTGTTGTCCATAATTGTATGCATCATTGGGTGTGCCTTTTTGCATATGTTGCCTGCTCCCACATCTATAGAAACATCAATTTTGATGACTTCTTCTTCATCATCGTGGACATCAAATGGCCATATTTGGTCTATGCTTTATGGAAATGTGTGTTGTGTATATTTTAGGTTAACTTTTTTTCAAAAGCCTGGGGTTTATTCAAGTGCTACATTTTTCCATTTCATGTGTATGAAAAAATTCTACGTGTGGTACGTGCATTATTTGTTATTCAGATGATGTGCAAATTTTATTTTTTTTATTCGAAAAAAAAAACAGAAAACGGACATGTGGTGGTCTAGCGAAATTTTAAAAAATAAAGCCAATAAGTGACCAAAAGGAAAAAGCAGGGGCGTGGAAGGAAAAATCCAAAAAAATATCCTCAAAACGTTTGAAGAAAATGTTTCTATATAAAAATCATCGTCAGCCTATAGAAAACATTTCCTCAAAAGGCTTGAGGAAAAAATTTCTATAGAAACCATATCCCCAAGAAGCTTGAAGAAATTTTTTCTATTGAAAACATATTCTCAAGAAGCTTGAGGAAAAATGAAAACATATCCTCAACAGGCTTGAGGAAAAATTTTCTAAAGAAAACATATCCTAAAGAGGCTTGAGGAAAAATTTTCTATAGGAAACATATCCTCAAGAGGCGAATTAAAAAAATCCACGCCTTGGAAAGGGTTGGAAAAAATATATTTTTTTTGAAAAATCCACGCCTTGGCATGGAAAAAAACACGCCTTGGATAGGCATGGAAAAAAAACCACGCCATGGATAGGCATGGAAAAAAACACGCCTTGGATAGGCATGGAAAAAAACACGCCTTGGATAGGCATGGAAAAAAACCACGCCTTGGATAGGCATGGAAAAAAACACGCCTTGGATAGGCATGGAAAAAAAGCACGCCTTGGATAGGCATGGAAAAAAACACGCCTTGGATAGGCATGGAAAAATATATTTTTTTAAAAAATCCACGCCTTGGATAGGTTTGGAAAAAATATATTTTAAAAAAATCCACGCCTTGGATAGGTTTGGAAAAAAATCCACGCCTTCTGGTAGTCCTTGAAATAATATTATTTAAAAAATCAACGCCTTTGATAGGCATTAAAAAAACCAAAGCCTTTGATAGGCCTTGTGAAAAATATTCTTAAAAAAATCCACTCATCTTATAGGCCTTGAAAAAATTTTCTTTAAAAAATCCACGCTTTGATACCCTTTAAAAAATCCACGCTTTGATACCCTTTAAAAAATCCACGCTTTGATAGGCTTTTAAAAAATCCACGCTTTGTTAGGCCTTAAAAAAAATCCACGCTTTGATAGGCTATTAAAAAATCTACGCTTTGATAGGCCTTTAAAAATCTACGCCTTTGATAGGCCTTGAAAAAATATTCTTTAAAAAATCCACGCCTTTGATAGGCCTTGAAAAAATATTCTTTAAAAAATCCACGCCTTTGATAGGCCTTGAAAAAATATTCTTTAAAAAATCCACACCTTGTGGTAGGCCTTGAAAAAATATTCTTTAAAAAATCCAAGCCTTGTGGTAGGCCTTGAGAAAATATTCTTTAAAAAATCCACGCCTTGTGGTAGGCCTTAAAAAATATTCTTTAAAAAATCTACGCATTGTGGTAGGCCTTAAAAAAAATTCCTTAAAAATTCCACGCCTTGTGGTAGGCCTTACAAAATTATTCTTTAAAAAATCCACGCCTTTGATAGGCCTTGAAAAAATATTCTTTGATAGGCCTTGAAAAAATATTCTTTGATAGATCTTGAAAAAATATTCTTTAAAAAATCCACGCCTTTGATAGGCCTTGAAAAAATATTCTTTGATAGGCCTTGAAAAAATATTCTTTGATAGATCTTGAAAAAATATTCTTTTAAAAATCCACGCCTTTGATAGGCCTTGAAAAAATATTCTTTGATAGGCCTTGAAAAAATATTCTTTGATAGGCCTTGAAAAAATTTTCTTTTAAAAATCCACGCCTTTGATAGGCCTTGAAAAAATATTCTTTGATAGGCCTTGAAAAAATATTCTTTAAAAAATCCACGCCTTTGATAGGCCTTGAAAAAATATTCTTTAAAAAATCCACGCCTTTGATAGGCCTTGAAAAAATATTCTTTAAAAAATCCACGCCTTTGATAGGCCTTGAAAAAAATATTCTTTAAAAAATCCACGCCTTTGATAGGCCTTGAAAAAATATTTTTTAAAAAATCCACGCCTTTGATAGGCCATGAAAAAATATTCTTTAAAAAATCCACGCCTTGACAGGCCTTGAAAAAATAGTCTTAAAAAAACCACGCCTCTTATAGGCTTTGAAAAATATTCTTTAATAAATCCACGCCTCTTATAGGCCTTGAAAAAATAGTCTTTAATACATCCACGCCTTGTGGAGGCCTTGAAAAAATATTCTTTAATAAATCCACGCCTCTTATAGGCCTTGAAAAAATAGTAAAAACACGCCTGCTTAAGGTTTTGAAAAAATATTTAAATACATTTTTCTTCTGAATATTCTCCCATTTTGATTTGATTTCCTCCGCCTCTGGTTTTATTTTCTGTGGTCAATATTTCCACCCCCTGCTCCAACTGCCTTCCTTTTTCAGACCAACCATTCAACACATGCATACAACATTATTATCATACTTATTGACTGGGCATCAGTTGTGTGTTTTTCGATACTCACATTTATACATACATATGTATATGAATTTTACATTTCTGACCATTTCATATTCATGATGATACTGATGCTGTAGATGAGGGGGAGGATGTGCCAAACTGGAGAAAAAAGGATAAACAAATCTAAGCAAGTAGACCTTAACCAAGTCGGCTACAAATATTGCTCAGCTGAGAATGGTTGGGTCTTCTTGGTTGTGGTCATGTATAATTTTTGCATAAAATATATGTAAATTTTCATTTTCAGTATTGTGCTGGAAAGGATGGAAGGAAGGAAGGAAGGACAGGCAGGGTGTAGGACACAGACCCAAAAGATAAACATAAAAATCACAGTTTTATATATATTCACATCTGTAATAAGAATGAATATTCTAAGGAATGGCAAAGGCAAATGAAAAAACCATATCAAAAACACTATCATGACCAAAACGAAAATCTAAGAATATTAAATAGGCTACAACGCCCTTGTGGAGGGCTGGTTGGCTTATGGAGGGAGGTGTCATGAAATGTGGTGCAAATGTCCTTATGAATATTAAGAAGATGATTTTTCTTCTTCAGTAAGTAAACAAAGAAAGATAACAACAACAAGAAATATAACAGAAAACAAAGTGTTTCAAATTGTGGGCATTAAATAACTCAAACCCCCTCAACAAGGCACCCTCCTTTCTTAAAGAGCCAACTAACTGAAACCTCTTTAGATGCCATTGAACATCTTTATTTATGTCATAGAGCCTCTTCTTGAGAAACCCAACACTTTGAAAACTACTTAAAGTGACATTAAAGAGTTCCTCCAAACAAAGGACTCGCAGCGACGCGACTTCTAAAACTGAAGAGGGTCTTTTAAAGGTGGTTGGCACACTTCTGGCGTTTGTCAAGCGGCAGTAGCTTGTTGTACAATACTTTTGGATTTTTGATTTGTCTACTTTTAGGTTTCCCAAAACAAAAACAAAACAAACAACCAACAAAAGAAGGGTTGTATCACAATCCCCTTCATTTTATTAGATGGCTGTAGTAGAGAGAAAGAGATGGGGGTTAACAAACTAAATTCTAAATATTGTCAATTTCCAATTGCTGCTGTCTTTTGTCCCATCATCTCGTCCTCTAATAACCTCCGATGTCGCTTGTGTAACACTTTTTTTTTTGAAATTGATTCATTTCGGGGTTTTAAAATCGTATCATACGAAAGTAGCAGATGTTCTGTTTGGTTATTTTGAATTTGGCCACTGCGTAGAATCATTCATCCTCCATCCTCGTTTACATTGTCATTTTTATGGTTAGCTGAATGGTGGAATCGAATCGGATCGTAATCGATAGATAAATTGTATTGTTTGGTTGGTTGCTTGCTTGGTTTATTTGATTGGTTTGTTTTATTAATGCGCACATCCATTGATACATCGATGTTTGAAAACTATTAACTTTTGTGTGTGTGCATGTGTGTGTTTGTATTCATATAGCCCTTTTTGTATATACTTCAAAACCAATAACAACCGTTTTAATGAATGTACATGGCACAACATTTTAAAATTGGAAATTTATAACACGTCAATTAAATAATTTCAAAAATAATGACGATTTATAGGAAAAGTCCAGGACACCGTGGAATTTTTAAAATATTTTTTAAAGACTAATAATCCAAGCCTTGAGAATTTTTAAAATAATTTTTTTAAAAACTTTTTCAAGGCGACTATTTAAAAAAAATCAAAGACTATTTAAAGGCGTGGATTTTGGAAATAATTTTTTCAAGGACTAAAAAAAGGCGAGGATTAAAAAAAAAATAACAAAACAAGGCGTGTTTTTTTAAATATTTTTTTAAGGACTAAAACAAGGCGTGGATTAAAAAATAATTCAACAAAACAAGGCGTGGATTTTTAAAATATTTTTTTTTTTCAAGGACTAAAACCAGGCGTGGATTAAAAAAAATTCAACAAAACAAGGCGTAGATTTTTAATATATATATATATATATATTTAAGGACTAAAACCAGGCGTGGATTAAAAAAAATCAACAAAACAAGGCGTGGATTTAAAAAAATTCAATAAAACAAGGCGTGGATTTTTAAAATATTTTTTAAGGACCAAACCAAGACACAAAACAAGAGACCGTCTGTCCATTATAATTTGCCAGCACGATACAGGCCACAGTTATGGACTAATCTTCACGAAATTTTGCATATAAGACGGGTTCTGGCTAATGAAGACCCCTATTGTTTATGGGAAAGATCGGTTAATAAATAGGGTTTGAAATGGACCAAATACTTAATTTTTGCCGATTTTTCTGGTCGCTCCAGAGGCCGCAGTTATGGTCCGAACATCGTGAAATTTTACATGGAGAAAGGGATCGGGCCAAAGAATAAGCATGCCTGTTTTGATAAAGATCGGTCAATATTTAGAGGGTCAATTCGAACCTGACTTTTGTGTTAAAAATTACAAAATTTTTATTCTGGGGCGTATATCAGAACATCACATATTTTATAAGGTGAAGGCGATCTGACCAAATACTTAGAACGGCTGGTTAGATGATGATCGGTCAATTTCCTAAGGGTCAAATCAACCAAAACCTAAAGTGACCAATTTTTTATTTTATGTCGTAAAAATTCACTTCAAGAAAAAAATTTTGGAAAATATGTCAGGGTTAGAAAGTGTAGTTGTTGATCTATAATCGGTAAAAAGGGTGCAAGTATCACGAAAAATTGCCCAGGCTTAGAATATAGAACCGCAGAAAGTTTACTTTTCGTGGTAGTTGTGTAGGGTGTCATATAGTCGGCCCCGTCCGACTATACTGCTCCGCTCACTGGTTTATAACTTTTTTCAAGGTCTCTTGATTTTTAAAGTAAATATTTTTTAATGCCCAAACAAGGCCTGAATTTTTTAAATTTTTTCAAGAACCAAGGCATGGCGTGGATTTTGTATAATATTTGTTCAATTGAAGGCTTGCATTTTTAAAAACAAGGCCTGGAAAAATATTTTTTAAGGCCATAACAAGGCCTTGTAAATAAATGTTTAAAGACCAATATAAGGCTTGTTCTTTTAAATATTGTTTTCAAGGTCTATATTTTTTTTAATATTTTTTCCAAGACCATAAAAAGGCGTCGATTTTTAATAAGGCAGGGATTTAAAAAAAAAAAACGTTTATTTTTTAAATCCTGGTTGTTGTTTTTAAGTTACTTTCAAAAATGTCTGGTTTAGCTTATTGTTTTTTTACTTACCATTGGACTGCATGGGCGAAGGTGAGCGGGACAAGCGTGTGATATCTGTAAAGCAAAAATAAATATCAACATATTAATAAAAATGTAAAAAAGAATGTGTAATATAGAAGGATTCTTAAGCAGTGCTGGTTAAGAACTGGACATGAAATCTCAAAATTCATCTATTTATTTCACTAAACTAAATAATATTTATTCAAAATTTAAAGGAGTATAATTTTTGAATTTCTGTAACTCATTTCCTTTCCATATATACATAAATAAATTTTGACATAAATTCCCTACCCCCAATTAAGCCATAAATCAAAATCTCCTTTCGTTATTGATGACATGAAACAAATGCCTAATAAATTTCTTAGGTGAAAACCATAACTAATCCTTTTCTTCCTTAAAGGATTTTTTTCCATGTATCGATCTTAACCATCTGTTTACAATTTTTATTTCGAAATTATGTAAATTAACCAAATGTCGTCACTCACTACTAAATATGCCCTTCTTCTTCTTCCTTCAACTACTTTAACATTGAATTAGTAACACTTGAAAAGGTCTCCAACACCTCCGCTTCGAATGGACATCTGGTATATCTTGGAAAATCGAAGAAACACAAATCTTCAAACCTCGAGCCATTTAACAGCATTCAAATGTCATATAAATTAAGTGGTTCGTGTAGTAGGGGTAGTATAAGGAACTCACCACCCTTGCAACTAAAATCCCCCCAACTCCTACGAACTCCACGCGCTAAACACACGACGCTGCACATCAATGGGTGGATATTACGGGACACAGGGAATGAGTTGTGATGCAACTAAACACAAGCTATGACACGCGTTACAACAACATTAACACCTACTACGTACATGACAAAGAGTGAGACAGAAAGTCGTCCATTACAGCAGCTAAAGGTCACAGATGCTCTTTTATGGATTTAAGTATTTATAAAAATTTTTTTCAAAAGTAAAATTTTCGGTTTGACCTTTTTTCAGGTTTTTAATTTCCATGGCATTTCAAAATTCAATTCGTTACAATATACAAATAGCCAGACTCACCCACACATATACATAAATGTGCATACACACACATGGGGTATATGTGTGGCAATTAATCGTTAACCACCAACTTTATTTGGACATTTGTTTAGCATGAGGGGGAGAAAGAGAAATGGCTGTTTTGAATCGATTCTCAAATTTCTATTGGAAAAATTTAAATGGCAAATTTTTTGCGTTTTTGTTTCGAATGTTTCGAATTTCCAAAAATAGCAATAAACATCAATAAATAACCAAAAACGCCAGGGGGTATTCCGGGAGCCAGCCAGCCAGCCATCCATCCACAGCACATCAATTCTGCACACGCACGCACAACGGACCATAATCAATAATTGGTCAGTGCCAGTAGTACAAATGCAGAATCCACCCTCATCTCAAATTTGAAATTAACATTAGAGCAAATATTTTATTTGGAAATAAGGAAGAAGAAAAAAGGATTTAAATACATCCAAACGCATTGGCTTTAATGCGGATGTTTTGTGTGGAAAAACTAGAACTTTAATTTTCGTGGAAATTTATTTTGAGGGAGTTTTTCTTAAATTTTGGAAGAGTTTTCTCGCTTTTCCATGCTTTGTTAAGAATATGCTAAGCAAAACAGAATGGTAATTAACCAAAAACATGCGAAAGTTTTTGTTTTTCTTCATCTTCTTCTGCTGCTTCATCATACAATCATCCCTTGAAAGGAAGAAATTGTAGGAAAAATAAGAAAATAAATAGAGAAAATGAAAACAATGATGGGCAATTGGGACATTCCATGGGAAATTAACCAAGGTAATTTTTTTCCTAATAGAAAATATTAGGGTTTCAGAGATTACGATTTTTTACGATGAGACCAAAAAGTCTAGAAATATTTTTTTGGGTGAAATAAAAATGTGTTAAAATAAATAAAAAAAAACAGTAAAAACCTTGTTAAGTTCGACTGAGCCCAATTTATTATGAGCATCACCAAGAGGCATTCATACATTTTAAAACAATTTTTCCAAGGGCTATTTCAAGGCGTGGATTTTTAAAATAATTTTTTCAAGGACCAAACAAGCCCCGAATTTTTTTAACTATATATTTTATAATGCTCAAACAAGGCCTGGATTTTTTTAAAATATTTTCTTCAAGAACCAAAGCAAGACTATTTTAATGCCAGAATTTTTTTTTTTAAATAATTTTTCAAGGACCAAAACGGGGCGTGCATTTTAAAAATATTTTTTCGTGGCCCTCTGGCAGACATACAATCTTAAATCGGAGATGAGCCTTAAAATCTACATTGGAAAACATGACCTAAAAATAGAGTACGGAAAATGAAGTCTGACATTAGCCACCAAAATTCTAAATTACAGCTACTTCAGATAGAAAATGCATTTTGTAACCATCAAAAGACCAAGATGGAGGCTATCGTTAGATGGCTACCGTTAGATGGAGGCTATATAGAAAAATTATCTGGGAAATAGAACCCAGAATGTCAAAATGCCACAATTTCTGTTGGAAATTCGATTAGAGGAATTAAAAAATTCCCAAAATTGGACGGTATCTGTATATGAGGGTATTTCAAAACATGGACCAATGCTATTTTTTAACCCTCCCACGAACCTGGTATGTCAAATTACAGACTCTCGGTTGGAAAATGGGATTCGAATTTTAAAAATACCTAAAAACGGGCGGACCGTTCAATGGGAGCTATAAAAACATGGAGCTTTATCGAAAATTATCTGCAAACACTTTTTAATACAAAAACAAGGATTTGGTCCGAATTTGCCTTTTTCAAAAGCTGCAGGAAAAGGCTCAGGTCCCTTTAATGGATCCATCTTTTGTGGTTGCCTTTTAGCACCTCCTTATGACTATTCTTAGCACCTCCTTATGACTATTGTACTTTCAAAAATCGATCAACAATTATCGATCCTGTACTAGGGTTACCATAACAAATCCTTTTTTGTTCCTTCATTTCACAATTTGTCTTTGGAGCAACAGTTAGCAAATATCCTTTCTTTATCGACACCTCAAGAAACAAGAAGGACCTCTTCAAATTAACACTTAAAGACATTCCCTAATTGTGGACAAGGGGGTTGTAATTGTGATAAGTTGTGATGGGTGGTGGTTCAGGTCTAACAAAACTTTTCACACTTTTGTATTGATCGTGTAAAACATGACTTTTTAATGTCATTATCCTTTAGGTAAGCAATCATACCTCTTTTCCTTTTCTTTGAGGAGGGTGGTAGTCGCCTTGGTCAAATATTTTGATTGGAACATTTTTGGCAAAACATCTTTAAGGGAGCATTTTGAATGAAAAGGCGATTATTTGTGGGTAATTTCATAAGGGGTAGGGTAGGGAGAAGGAGGTAGGTTGAGTATAAGTGGGTTACCTAACACTTTGTTTACAAATTATAATGGTAAGGATGATGTCCTTTAATAATAGATTTGTAATGATACCTTCATTCTTAAAGAAAGGAAGAAGATAAAAGGCTTTATGTCAAGTAAAAGGGGCACCCATCCTTTTGAGCAAATATTTTGATGTAGAAAATCCGCAATAACAATAATTTATGTGGGTTTATAAATAAGGATTGATTTACGATATTGACGAATTGAAGATCATCATTTTGAAAGGCCATTACATTTTTATAACTAGTTTTAGAGGATATTCAAGCAATAAGCCGAAGTTTTTAAGGAACATTTTTGAGAACTATTGAAGTATATAAAAATGAGCTTTAAGGGTTTTTCTTGAGAATTGTTTATATATTTTTTGAAAAATATTTTATGTGGGAAATTTGTTTTTTTTTTTATTATTATTTTTAGAATTTTTAATATTTTAATTAATAAAAATTTAATAATAATTTAATTAATATTTTAATTTTAGAATATTTTTCGTGTTTTTATGTGATGTATATATTGTTGTAATTTGCAAATATAAAATATTGAACTATTTAATTTTTAATACTTGGGGAATGACCCCATTCACGGACTAACCGATCTGAGGGGGTGTGAGAAGAGAAGGCTGAAAGAGTTCTCAAAAAATAGAATCATAGAGGGATAAAAAAGTATTAAAAGGGCTACCAAATAAACTAACTACCAAATAAACTAATTTTGAATATTCAGAAGCGAAATTTTACCTTTTTTAATTTAATTATTAAGAATGCAATCCAATTCCATTTGAGGAATTATTAATAGGTTCTTAACGTCTATTTTTACCAGAGCGTTTAATGAAACATCATTTTTAAATGGCTTCAATTTTATATTTGTTAATAAAAATAATTTTTTGAATGTTTGTAGGGCAATAATAATCTCATGTCTTGAAAAAAAAAATTAATAAAAATTTTTTATATATTTTTTTTCTTTTAACACTAGAACGCCGAAGGCAGTCATTTTGACCGCTTTCCGATTTCAAGTACAAAAGCAACAGTTCATTTAATGACACTTTTTTTTAGGATTTGATGAATTTTTTATAATAAACGTAATTCTATGAGATACAAAAAGTCACCAAATTTTTAAAAAAAAGTGTCATTAAATGTACAGTTGCTTTTGTACTTGAAATTGGAAAGCGGTCAAAATGACTGCCTTCGGCGTTCTAGTGTTAAGGGCATACCTTGAACAATTGGTGAGTATTATCTCCTTCCTTCTCTCAAATATTAATCTTTAATAAATTAAACTTAATATGTATTCAATATATTTGTGTTAACATTTGGGACTTTTTAAAGAGAATAATTATTATTTTTTTAATAATTTATAAAGTCAAGCAATTTATTTATTTTTTTCAATGTCCATCTTCAATATTGTACAATTTCCTTTTAAATTTCTTTATTTCCTTTTCTCCCCCCTAAAAACACTTAAACTACAACTTTTATTGCCTGGACACATATGCAGATACTACATAAAAGTCCGACGCTGGCAGACTGTCTCCAGAGTCTATAAATTAGCAACAGACTCAATAACCACAAACATTTTTGGTACTGAAACTTTTTACATCTTTTGCCCAACCTCAATTCACTTAAAAAAAAACTGCATTATCCTGAAGACATACAA